AGATATCAAAAGAACGTATTGGCTCTATATTGCATGAGCATTTGACTATGAGAAAGCTCTGTCCAAAGTGGGAGCCGCGCGAGTTCACTGTTGACCAAAAACCAGAACATCTTGTTGATTCTGAGCAGTGTTTGGCCATGTTAAAATATAACAAACCGGAATGTTGGCGTCGATATGTGACAGTAGATGAAACAATTCAGTCCGGAATTGAAACGATCGTCATCTGGGTGGAGAGCAACTGGTAAACCTCGTTCAAAGCTCTCGAAAGCACGACAATCGGCTGAAAGGTTATGGTCTTGGTAATGAATGGAATAATATAGATATTTAGTTGTAAAATCACACAAAACTGATTCATGGCATTTTGTTCAAGAGCATATAATTATGAGAATACTATACTTTGTTCACGACCGTTTCAGAATAAATCCATTTAGGTAATCAGTTTTCTCATTTAGAATTTTATTAATATTATGCACTATTAGCAGTGAATAATCAGTATTCATTTTTATCAGGCTAGTATTGTGAATCATCTTCGTAAACAACTGAAAATGAATAACAATCGTTATATCAGTGGTTATCATATTGGAAGAGTAGTGATAAAAAAAGTGAATAATGATCATTCACCGCTAATGTTTCATAATATAAGTAATATTTCAAGTGAGGAAACTTATAAGGAATTGATTCATTTTGAAACTGTCATAACGAAATAATTCAAAGGAGATTCTTGTTGATTACTTACGATGACACAAACAAAAGTATTCTTCAAAAAATAAATATTTTGACCTGATTGAAATATTATCACGTGGAGTGTTATATATTCAGTAAAATGTTGAAAAATCATGCTTATGATACGAGCACAAGATACAATATTATAAATATTATGGAAACGATAGGTCAAGGATGATTTCACAACAGAGCTCTTGAATTTCATTGTCAAATAAAAAAGTTCCGAAAGTAGTACAGTTATACTCACGAGTTTTACTGAGCGTAGTGGATAATGGAAATAGTGAATTACATAAATTTCCCTTAAATACACCTATTCTGGACGTGATCAGCTTAGTTGGACTCTAGTCTGGCCAGATATTATGGTAAACCTAGTTCTGCATACATATTTGGTCAACACATATAATAATTGCCTTGTGTTAGTCGATCCCAGGCACAGGCGAAGCTATCTGGCTTACAGAGACAGGCTTGTCTGGTCATCAGTGGTGTCATCAATACCACACCGTCAGCGGACATGGAGATCCTTCTAAATTTACCCCCTATCCACATTTTTCTGAGAGGAAGGCTAGATAGACTGCATATAGACTTGTGCACATTGCCAATTGCACAAATCAGTTTGATGCAAATTGCAACAGACTGTTGGTTGGCACTGTAAGTCACAGCATTTTAGAAATAACCTCTGATTTTATGCCTCCAACTGTTATGAAGTACTGTTCCCAAGTAGAGAGGACTGGATCCTCCAGGAGAAGGAAGTATTAAGATCAGATAGTTGTTGGTTCACAGATGGATCAAAAACACCTTCCGGTTCTGGTGCAGGTGTTTTCAGTCACAGACCCAGGACAGGGATATCAACCTGCCTAGAAACCTATGCGACTGTATTTCAAACGAAAATTCACACTATTGAATTATGTGCGAGGAGATTGGAAAAATCCAACCTACACATGTCAATAAAAATATTCTCGGAGAGTCAAGCGGTGTTGGAAGCTCTTGGCTCCTACCGAGCAACGTCTAAATTGGTAGCTAATTGTCAAAAACGACTCTCCTCGATAGGAAGACTTAACATATTGTCTCTGGTCTGGATTCCTGGCCATACTGGCCTGGAAGGTGATGAAGCTGCTGACTCTCTTGCAAAGGATGGTGCAAGAAAGCGGTTTTATCGGACCAGAACCTGGCATTGGCATTGGCAAAGATTGAACACCTAGATGGCAAGAAGATTTACGGACTCCTGGCAGAATATTCCAGGATTGGCTTTCTCCAAGGCATTTATTCACCCTTCGAAGCTTGATACCAAACAAATGTTGGACTACCGTAGGGATAAACTACGATGTCTAACAGGCCTTCTTACAGGTCACTGTCATTCGAATCATATGCAGAGACTCGGACTGTCGGGAGACAGTCTAACTCTAACCATCTGACCTGAAAGACAACTCACCATACAAACTAATCGGCTTCGTTAAGAAGCTGGGTTTATTTGGTCGAGTGAAAATAGGTGTAAGCCACAATAAACCCTTGGGGGTTGCGGTGGACAGTCGAATAGTTCCACTGACTTTGTACCTAACCTAACCTAACCTATTCAAACCATAGAGAGGTTACTCCTATTATTATTATCCCTATTACTTTGATTAGATTTACAAAGAATGATATCTGTTACAAAGCCTGTCATGAATGTTCAGTATACTGAGCAAAATAAATGATTATTGAAAGAAGCCATAAAACAGTAAATCTATCTATAAAGTTCACGAACAATGTCTCGTTGGGCCTTTTTGCCTCCCAATAGTAAGTTCTGACTGAATCAAATTAAATCGATTCTAACATAGTGGTTTAAGAATGAAATAACGAAAAAGTTTCAAAAAGTACATTTGACACTCATAAATATTGAAATTCAAAAATGAATTGAGATGTGAGAATGTCAGTTATTGAGATATTTCAACAACTTGTTTTGTGAATCTCCAATTTTACTGATTGTTCATTTTACCATGATGGATTTGAAAAACATTCTTCAAATTTTTGATTTGGTCTTTTTTATCAGTTACAGCAACCAGAAGTAGAAGGTCAAGAGCACTGTAGGAGATTTAGAATTGAAAATGGAGATTCCCCAGGGGAAAAGGACGAGGTAAGTTGGTTTCCTCATTTCATGTTGAATGTTGATGGAACTGTTCAATGTATGATTCATCCAAAAATAATTATGGATATAAGAGATTTGCATCTGATGAAATCTAGTCATTCAACTATCTTCTTCATGAAATTTCACCAACTAATTAGAGTGTTTGCTATCGTCTATGCATCGAAAGTGCGTCAATAGATAACGAAAACTATAAGTAAGAAAATTATGAAAATGTTGTGGTATGGAAATGACATTAATTAAAATTCAAATGAAAAAGTTTCATGATCCGAACTCATTCGATCATACACGAAGTGAACTGGAACTTTGTTATTTTAAGTGGAACATACTACATTTTATTACTGACTTAAATTTCACATAGACTTCTACATCTGTTCTAATTATCTTCAGAAATGTTTGACTTTCAATATAAAATTTTTCATTTGAAGGTATTTTTTTTTTGTTTCTATTGTGGGACTTCTGGGGAAAAGTTTTCAGTAAACAATGATTAGTCCAAATTTCTCAATTTTTCATAAAGGGTGTAACACAGAAATTGATTTTGTTGAATTTACCAAACGTTATTATTTATTGAATTCATATCTTTTCATTTCCTAATCTCAATTAACATTCAGAACCATGCTCCCTCTCAATTATATTATATGTACCTTAAAAGCATTGTTTTCATAGGAATACATGTTTCAATAATTCAATTATATGAGAATGAACTCAATTGAATGTAAGTTGGTTTGCAAAAACGCGTGTGAACTTTGGAATGTTCAAAACTATTCAGACCTATCAAAATATCCGACTGATTTTGAATTATACGCTTTTAGATTTTTCAATGTTTTCATTCTTCTTGATAACGTTTTGACAAAAAACTATGAAGCACTTGTTGCTCAGTAGTGTCACGAACATAGTCGCTAGTTGGACTCAGTCAAGGAATCGAATTTCATAACTTTTCCATTTCAGGACATGGAAATATTTGCTGTGCAAAAAATCATGCAAAACGCGAAGAAAATTCATCAAGCAAATCCCTGTTTTACTTAACAAAACAAACTGAAACAAAACTACTTATTTGTAAACTTCAACAGGTATATTTATTATTCATCTTATTATTGGCATAAAATTCCAATAACTAACATATTTGTCAAATATCTGTGTTCCTAGAAGTAATATTGCATTGTATTTGTTTTTTTCACAATCTACTTGTTTCACCAGAATCATTAATTTATCTAATTGAGTTTTGTAATTACCTAGTGTTATACAGAAGACATTGTGGTACAGTTTGATGTACCAGTTTGATGATAAATATGCAGCGAAACGCATCTCAAATAGATGTCTTTGTGAAAATTGTAAAATCATCGTCATTGGTATTTGAGAAACTGTTCAAAATTACGTCTTCCAAATTCGAACACTCATTTCAATCAATATATTTCTACAATGAAATATTCAAGCTTTTCAGTTCTAGTAAAAGGTCGACTTCTATATACGTTTTTTTACAATATAATAGAAAAGTCACTCGGTTTGAGATCAGGAAAATGAGAAGGCCATCTTGGATCGGTAAATCATCACAATCATTTACCAACAAATTTCCTATTCTATCTACAAAATTTGGCTGATACCTTACCATTTATTGTATTCATTGAAAACACTTCATACCCACTAGAACAAAATTACTGTTAATGTGAAAGTGGATTCATCTCCAGAATGAATGTGTCGGTAGAAATCATATATTTCTTCTATTCCATTTCGATCCACATGGAAATGTCATATCTCAAAACGTAGTCTCAGGCTTGAAATATACAAATGAATTCTAGCTGTATACATGGTATCATTTTTTTAAGTAGTTTCTTCACACCGTATATTCATAAAGTTGTATGGAACTTCTAGGGCTTTCGATAACTTCATCATTCGCTTCATCATAGCTGCATCGGTCGTTTACTTATTACTACCAATTAAGCTGCGGTGTTAGCGAAACGCGTCTAGAATTGAAAATATAATTGTGTGAATTATTAAGTAATATTATGTATACTGTAATTAATTTTCATCAAGTAACTGGCCAGTCCATCCATAATTTCAAACAGTTTTCGTAAGCTCTTAGGTGCAATTGTTTTTCAATGATTCCATCTGATCAATAAATGAAAACTGTCAACAGATGAGTTATGAAAACGCCAAACGTTTTATTAATTCTTTAGGCGCCCATTTTTTCTATGGCTATTCCCGATAGCTCCAGTATAGATTTCTTGAGGTCCATTTATTTCAAGCATATTTAGAAGGATTTCATATTATACATTGATAAAGAGTTTTTATTATAATAGAGGTGAAGTTTACACTTATATAAATAATATACAGGACGTTCCAACAAAAACTTTACCCCCCTGTAAGTCAGAAACGGACGTGTAATCGAAAATTTCAAAGAACACGTCAATTTTTAGGTAGAGTGATACATCATTTGAAAGCTTAAGCTTATAAAGTTTCCGGAGTGTAATAGTGTCTATGTGGGACAATGTGGTCGAAATTTCCAAAAACGGTATGCTGAACATGACAGGTCCTTCAGACTAGGAAAAAAGNTTTTCTGGTTTTTCTTAAATAAAACGTTCAACATTTTATTTCTCAATAACGAATGAACCAATTTCGAAAAAAAGTAATTCAGTAATACAGAGACAAAAGACGTTTCAGATGACGTATCACTCGCCATTGAAAAAAATAGGGGAGGAGTAGTTGCTGACCGCAGAAGGGTGAAGTTTAGGGTATGATGTTCATATCAGAATTAATCTCTCTAGAAATAAAAATTGACGTATTCTCTAAAATTTTCGATTGCATGTCCGTTTCTGGCATACAGAGGGCGTCAAGTTTTCCTTGGAACGCCTTGTAGATTTAAGATAAAAAAAATCTGAATAGGAAGTCATTACTATCAATTTCAGTATAACTCCCAATTCTGAATAACATTTTGTTATATTTTTCAAAATAAATATATTTATTATTTTTGGTCTTGCCCGTATAGTGTTTGAATGTATCTACTGCGGTTATTCAACATGCAGTAACTTTTGACGGTATTGAAAATCCATTTGTGCAATTGATAAAAAAGGCCCATTTGTTTCAAACTTCATGGATCATACTGTATATGACCCACTAATTTGTTTTTATGTCAAATTTTCCACACGCTCCTAGGGAGATATTTTATTATTATGGTAATTTTACTAGACCCGTATCATCTCAAAGCTAATACTTCGAGACCAGGGAGATGATGTTCAAGACAATATATTTCCATTTAAATCACCTTCTAGAGAAGGTAAGGCCGAAATAGCTTTATATATTTTCCTTACTCATACTCTGGACACCTTCCTACGCAGGAATTTGTTTGCACGAACCTGGTTTTTAGCAGCTCTGAATTTATCCGACTGAAATAAAAATGTAAATATCCGACCTGACTAACTTTCAGATCTATCGGGCGAAAAAAAAGCAAACTTGAGTATTCGCAGGGGAAATTACGAATGCATACATTGACCGCAGTGACCACATGTAATTTTTCTGAAGTTTACTTGTGAAAAGCTACACGTAAATCTGCTTTTCAGATGTTTGGATCGCCAAGCACGCCGGTCCTTGAAAATCCCGAATACCAAACAAGATGGTACTTCAAATATTTCCTAGGAAAATGTAAGTATACCCCATTGAGTTGAGTGAACTGTTAACATTTCATGATATCAAAATTACTGACGGTTTTTTCTCGTTGATTGAAGGTGGATACTTGAGGAAGAGTTACAATAAATAGGCATACACTGAAGTAGAATCTTTATCTTTATTACAACAATTATAATGATAATGTGGTGAATTTGTTGTAAGCCATAGAAATTACTAAATCAATTGAAATCTCGAATATATATAACGCTTAACGAGCAACTCGATTTATGTAGGTCTCTAAATACTCTTGAATTTATAAGTTTGACAACCCCGGTATTTTTCTATAATCTCCAGTGTTGAAATTTGTATAAGTGGCACCCCTGTTCATTGAATTACCTGCACATATAGCTCACACATAAACTTCCTATATAACCTCGTTTTCAGATTCCAAATGTATTATTTAGTTTTTTATACTTGATAATGGGATAAAACCCGAAATCGGCTGTAAAAATACAATAACAGTGTTTCCACTCATTTCATTGAAATGATTATGAATTTCCGCAAAATAAGCAAGTCATCAATTACATAAACTATAACGGGAGTGGCGAAAAAAATAAAGATGCTCAATGATAATACTGATGTAAATCATGCCCCAAAGAAAATAATGCCGGCTGCCACTGGTACCCATAAACCAATTGTGACGTAGCTAAGAGCGCGCGAATGTACGATGTTCGCTGCCGTTCTAGATGTAGCGAGAATAATGCTACCGGCTTCGATGGAATTTCGAGAAATCTTCCAGCATCTTCGATTGCCATATATAAGTGCCATCCACTCGCCCATCGAGATAGTCAAATGAAAGTGACAGTGCAGTATGCGAAGCAGTCTAGTAAGGCGATAGACATTCGAATAATAGTTGAAGTTTCAGTTGAAGTGAAAGTTTGACTATTGTTCAGTGTAGTCAATTATTGGTAAACCGAAGGGAAAAAACTAACATTTGGTGTCAGAAGTGGGATCCGGTCTTGAAAACTGTACGAAAATGCATTGAAAAAGGAGTGAGGCCAGAATGGCAAGAATGCCAGCAGGAAAAAGGTTACTGGCTCCAATGAGACTCTATGTGCATCCGAGATGATCTACTTACTCGAAAATGGGAAAGCCCAGAAGGAAAAACCCACAAATTCCAGAAAATCCTTCCAAAGATGAATATCCCGAATATACTCTAACAGCTCCACGATATTCGCACTGGATCGCATTTCAGAGTAAATAGAACTCTAGCGAGATGCGTGAGAGGTAGTATTGGGTCAATTGTCGTCGAGACGTGAAACAGTGGTGTAAGCGTTGTGGCCTGTGCTCTTCGAGAAAGGATCCGAAGACAAGGCAAATAGGAAAGTTGAAGCAGTACTTGAGTGAGTGCCCTTTCGAAAGAATCGTAGTCGACATTCTGGAACCATTTCCTATGACCAAATCCGGTGACAAGTACGTTATGGTTGTGATGGACCATTTCTCCAAATGGCTTGGAGTATTCAGGCTATTTGGAGAAATATTCAGGTCATATTCAAAAACATTTCATTGTGAGATTTTCACTAAACCATTCCACAAAAACGAATCACGGTTTCGCCATACGATGGCTTCTTTGGGCGTGTCTTCACGCAATTGATGAATGAATGGATATTTTTTGATAAAAATGAAAATTCACCTTATTTTTTGAACAAACAGCGTATATTATACATCTTGTTCTACTAGAAAAAATATCTCGTAAAGGAGTTTCCATCATGGCTGAGGATAGTTCACCTAAAATATCATGAAGGCAATATTCAATTGTTTTTTATCCCTTGAAACTCAATGTATAGGTAATATGTGTATAGGAATACTTAAAATCATTAATCAAAAATAGAAAATAAATGTTCGAGTTTGAAAGTTGTCAATTTTGATGTATATCATTTGAATTTGAATGCATTTTTTTACGATTCTGTCATTTTTCAGTGCATCAGAACTACGTTGGACTGGATAACGACAAATCACCTTTTTTTCTAAGTATAGTATTGAACGAGGATAGCAGTACGTGTGTTCCCCTCTGTCGAGCGATACTATTCAAGAAAACTGTGAGTATGATTTGAGAAAATGACCAGCATGTTCATATTCATTTCAAACGTGATAATGTCTGTATGGATAAGTAAGTTCCATTTCCGTTAGAATTAACATCGAAACAGTCAAATTCAAAAATTGGTTCGATAATGATGAATTTGTATCATCGTATTTTTTTGTGGAAAAGGGATGAAGAATTTTTGTATATGCACAATTTAGTTTCTGCCAGCGTTTCGAACTTAATTGAATATATCATCACTCTACAATGAAATCATTCAAAGAGACAACAAAATACAAGCAAATACATATTGCAATTTGTCATGATTTTTCATTCTGATCTTTAGAAAAAACTAAAATAGGACTTACTGAACATTGGTTAATCCATATTAGAGAAGTTAATAAGCTATATAACAGGCAACATTGGCATGAAAACGAACGAAAATAAGGGACTAGCAATGTGAAAGTCATTCAACCCCAGGTTGACGGTTTTTATTTACTATTTTTCCAGTTGTAGATGATAGAAAGATATTAGGTGGGGTACTATCCATCCTTCTGTGGTCTCTCCTGATGGTTAATCTGCTTGATGCCCTTGACAGAAGAAAAGTATATCTGCAAGCCTATGCAAATGACCTTGTCATCTTGGCAAGGTCCACGTCGAGAATATCCTCCAAAGCACGATGGACGTTGTTCACAGTTGGTGCCTGAGGAAGCAGATGTCTATCAACCTCAGCAAAATGTGATGATCTCTTCACCAGGAGGAGAAAATTGGACGATCTACCGCCACTTTCCCTCATTCTATTGGGAACGGAGGGAAATATCTTGACATTGTCTTTGATGAAAAACTCACATGGAACACTCATTTGGAAAAAGTTTTACACAAAGCCAGACTGTCGCTATGGACATGTCGAAGGATTTGTGGTAAAACTTGAGGTTTAGGTCCCAAACAAATCCATTGGAATTATGTGATGATTGTCAGACCAATGATCACTTATGGTGCAATTGCCTGGTGACCGAAGGCTTTACAGAAAACAGCCCAGGCGAAGCTCCCTGGCTCACAGAGACAGGCTTGTCTGGTCATCAGTGGTGCCATAAGTAGCACACCATCAGCGGCCATAGAGATTCTTCTAGAGCTACCTCCTCTCCACAGTTTTCTGTGGAGAGAAGCTAGATAGACTACATATAGACTTGTGCACATTGCCAATTACACAAATCAATTTAATGCAGAGTGCAACAGACTGTTGGTTGATACTGGAGGTCACAGCATTCTGGAAATGACCTCTGACTTTAAGCCTCCAACTGTCATTTACGAACTGCCTTATAAAGTTATGTTCCCTAGTAGAGAGGAATGGATTATCCGGGAGAAGAAAATAGTAAGAGCAGATATATGTTCACAAATAGATCAAAAACATCTTCCGGTTCTGGTCCAGATGTTTCAGTCGCAGACCCAGGACAGAGTTATCTACCTGCCTAGGAACTTATACGACTCTACTTTAAGCGGAAATTTACGCTATTGAATTGTGTGCGGAGAGATTGGAAGAATCCACAAGTCAATAAAAATATTTTCGGATAGTCAAGCGGCGTTGGAGGCTCTTGGCTCCTACCAAGCAAAGGAAGGTGCTGCAAGCAGCTTCATCCGACCAGAACCTGTCATTAGCATCGCTTTAGGCTTTGCCAAATAAAGATTGAACACCTGGATGGCAAGAAGATTCATGGACTTCTGGCAGAATCTTGCAGAATCGGCTCACTTCAGGGCGTTTATTTACCCTTCGAAGCTTGATACCAAACAGTTATTGGACTACAGTAGGGATGAACTACGATGCCTAACAGGCCTTCTTACAGACCACTGTCATTTGAATCATCATATGCAAAGATTTGGACTGTCGGAAGACAGTGTACGTTGCCTCTATTTGGAGCACATACAGCAGAGCACATACTTTGTGCCTGCTCCGCTGGGGAATGAATCAGGTTTTTAGAGTTCGGCAAAGCCTTACTCTTATCATCTGACCTGAAAAACCACTCACCATACAAACTAATCGGCTTCGTTAAGAAGCTGAGTTTACTTGGTCGAATGTGAATAGGGGTGAGCCACAATAATCTCTTGCGGGTTGTGGTGGAGGGTCGAATAGACCCACTCACTTTGGACCTAACCCAAGATATTAGAGTACAAGGAAGGGTGGAAACTTTTTCGGATCTGAGTTGAGGAATCCGTGAATAATAATCCGTGAGGAATAAGCTCTACTCAATCCATGTCTCTTCTATTATTTACACATCCTCGTTTGAAAATTTTGATCATCTCACTTGAAAGCAAATCAGATTTTCTAATAAGGGTTGAACGACAAAATATTAGGGTTTGGAAAATGTTATTTGCGGTCATTTGTTCAATGAAGGCTGTTGAGTTGAAACATTGAGTTTTTTGCATCTATGTGCAATGTATTTTTTCAGAAACAGCACGTTTGTCCAATAAAACATTTTACAAAATGCGGAGAGACGAAAAAGAATATGTTTTCACTGAATTGTTCATGAAATCACAATATGAATGAATATTTCAAATGATTTACAAGCTTGTTCAAACGTAACTTCACCATCTATAAACAAAAGTAGAAGTCATCAGTCTTGTATAATGCAACATTCTCAAACTAACACATTTCAGGGAGCCCAGAAAATTTCATTACCCATATCGCAGCACAAAGTTCTGACAGTGAAACAAATACTGTCGAATTTTCCAAACATGGACAAGATAGAAAAAGGACCGAAGGAGATATTTTCGCCAGATATACAAAAAGACCTGCTACTTCTGGAAGAGCAGGAGGGTTCGGTAAATTTCAAGTTCGGTGTCATATACATGAAACTGGGTCAGACCAGCGACGATGACATTTTGAGTAATGGTAAGTACTTCATTTGATTACAATTCGTTGTTACAGTTCCGGCATGTCCAAAATGAATTGAGAAAGCTTTTCCAGTTGTCGCTCGGAAAATTGAGTTATTCAAACATTCTGATTTCTTGCAAGTTAGTTATTAAAATAATAGTTCTGGAAAAGTTTCGTTCTTAGCCGAACCAAATAAAACATTTTTAAAAAATCCATATACAGACGATACATCCCGAATGTATGATGTGATTATGTTCATGATTATCCTGAATTTCAAAAGAAATTAATGATTTTTTTTGCCTCACAGCTATGTAGTGATTTTCATACAACTCTTTGAGTTTAACAAAATTGGTTTCATAGAGAATTTTGAAATCTACAGTAAATATTGAAATCCAGGATGAAGTGTTCCTGAATTTTTTGTACATATTTATGACAGAAACAGAGAAAGTGCTATAAATTTTTCTGTCATCCGAATTAGAAACGATCTTAATCCATCTGTTGAATCAATCGATAAAAAGTATTGGGTTGGCTGAACGCATTCTGGCCAGACTGTGATTTTTCAAAAGTTCAAAAACTGATTTTTTTTCAATATTACACTCATTTGTTTTAACACCAGTCAAAAGTATGGAGCCTATAGAAAGAATATACAAACATAGGGTTGGCTATTTTTTACTGGAATAATTAATCGATTGGCAGGTATAAACAGGTTAACTCCATTAGTTCAGACTTACATTGGATAATATGATTTAAAGTCATTTGAAATACCTGAAAGAATCAATAGAATTAAAAAGTTTAGCTAAAAAAATAACACTTTTATCAAGCAAAAAATTTTAATTACAATGAAATAAAATACAAGCAACAATTGAAAATTGTATAAGTAAAGAAATTAAAATTAAAATTAAAATATTTCAAGCTAGTTACTTCACGACGTTTCGAATTTTAGTATCCACAGTCGTCATCGCCCGAAGACTGGCATGCTGCTGTAATTATTTTTTTGAGTTCTTCAATATCAGAAGGTTATGTTTTATGAACAATGGATTTAAGATGCCCTCGAAGGAATAAATCTAAGGGTGTGAAATCCGGTGATCTCGGAGGCCCTTCAACTGCTCCCCTTCTGCCAATTCATCTATCCGGAAATCTCTCGTTTAACCACTGTCGGACGGAAAGAAAATAATGAGGTGGAGCACCGTCCTGCTAGAAATGTAACAGATCCTCCTGCAAAAGTTCATTACCTCCTGCATCCATTTTAGTTTTCAACTCTTAAGTTATAAGTGTATCGATGATCTCTTCAAGGAATAATGGAACAATAATAGCATTTCCAAGAATACCAGCCCAAGCATTATGTTTTTGTGGGTGTTGTGTATGTCCTTCCCAGAAATATGTGGCGTTTTGTCACTTCAATAGCGCCAATTTTGTCTATTAACATTGCAATAAAAAAAAGTGAATACTCATTGATGTTCAACATAAGATAAGAGATGGTGTTGACTCGATGAGTCTCCTTCATAATCATTCTCGTGGAGCTCTAGAAGAATCCGCATTTTATATGGATGAAATTTATGCATTTTCAATGCTTCCCTTACAATCTCGCATAACATTGTCGTCTGTTCTGATACTGATCGTAAGGAGCTCGTGGGACCTGCAGCAAATGGTCCCAAAACTTCAATTTGATCTTCATTTAGTACACTGGGGTTATTTCTTTTTTTTTTGTCACTGGAACCAGTTTCGTGGAACTTAGTAACAAAACAGGACGGCTGGCTGAGCAAACTTCGAAGCTATGGCTTGTCAGATCCATTTTTGTGTATGGCTCTCCAGCTTCCTGAAAGAACGTTCCCTGCAAGTGGCTGTCGATGGGTATCTCTTTTATCATCAACGCTGGTGTTCCTCAGGGATCTATATTGTCTCCAACCTTCTTTTTATTGTATATCAACGACTCATTGGAAAAAAACAAGAATCAAATATATTGCTTTGCTGACGACAGCACACTTGTTTCGTCATTCCATTTGGATTCCACGACATCGGCGGCGGATGCACATCTTCACCGGCAGTAGGAGGTTAATGAGGATCTAGAAGTAATTTCGAATTGGGGTTAAAATAATCAAGTTCAATTCAATGCCACAAAAACCCAGGCATCGGTTTTCTCCAAAAAGATTAATGTCAGGTCAGACAATTCCACTTTCTGCTTAGATAAGTTTGTTGGGGGTTGAAATGGACACCTATACGTCTTGACACAATCATGTCGCTGGAATTGCAAAAGCTGCTTCTCAAAAACTTGGAACACTGTTCCGAACCAGAAAACTGTACACACCTCAGCAACTCATGTATGTAGCTCCGCCCCTTAGCATACCCTGAAGCTGCTGGATCCCATCCAGAAAAGAGCCATCCGCCTGATTGAAGACGCAAACGTCACTTGCAACCTTGATAGTCCGGAACATCGAAGAAAGGTTTGATATTTGTCTCTCTTCTATAGATACTTTCACGGGAAATATTGAAGTGACTTTTCACATTTGATTCCAAGAACGATACATATCAGAAATACGCGAAGGACTGTGGCTGCCCATCTTTTTAAGGTTCAACTCAGTACACCTCGAACTTCACTTTTCAAGAACTCTTTCAGTTGGAGAACTGCGTTCACGTGGAAAAAACTTCTTGAAAACGTTTTTCCAACTTGATTTAATCTCCAGCGATTCAAATCCAATGTGAATCGCTACAGGCACCGCTCTTAGAGCACCTTTAGGATTTTCCTGTAGTGCTTGTGTTATGTCCTTGAAAAAATATCTGGATTCTAGTGTCCATTCTCCAGCGCCGTTTATTCGTATCTTGCATCAAAATCGCAATCAATACTTGATTGATGGGACGTTGAACTAACTTGATTATTACACCGTGCCAGTAGTTTCCGTTAAGGGATTATTTCAGTAGCCATGAATTGGATAATTGTCCTTTGAATTGAGGTGAATAATTAGAGATATCAAACCGAAAAAGTAATGGAGTCATTGAGTATATTCAGCGAACATGTTCACTGGTGCTTGTTTACTGTAAAATTTTCTTATGAGAGGGGTGAAAATTATTATTTTATTGTCGATTTTTTTAAATCATAAGACATTTACGGTATAAGACTGAAAAATTCTGCAAAACGTTCAGGTTCCTATTTAGAACATTTAAAAAAGCTTCACACGTTCCTAGATAAAGTGTCTGAGTTATCATGAAGAATACATCAGATAAAACACATGGTCTTTCTCAATTATCATTATCTACTATCTTGAACACCACGTGAAAAATATTTATAATAATCATAAATAGAAGACCATGGCAAAACCCGAGAGCCAATTGAAATTGACAACAGCCGTGAAAGCCTAGATTCCTATATTGTTGTTATTGTTATTTGTTATTGATAAGTCGTATTATATTATATTTAAAAACTTACCTCTCGTTCGGAGATTCTGTAATGTTCCGAGGATCATCTTCTGCTTGTTTCATCAAATTTTATATGATCACTATCACCGAAAGCGGTGATAGTTTTACGTTATATGCTCACTGTCAACGGTATACCTCGATCGCACACTGAATACTGAGTCATGCGAAACGACGAGAGAGAATCGTTTGAATAATATAGGTATATCCTTTCAATTCTTGTATTCTTATCATAACTTGTTCACATTAAATTTCAAATAAAGTACTTATATTACTTTGAAATACGAACAGTTGTTCGTAAATATGGCTTGGATGTATTATAAATTATATCACGATTGTCTATATTTTTGATCGGTTTTGAGTGTGTGAAAGAATTAATTTTCCCAGACGATGGAAAATTATTTCTATCGTGGTATGTGAGCATACTATTGACCTATTCAGTTTTCTTCAGACTTCCCGAGTATTTTTGAATTGGCAAGGAGTAAATGACATTGTATAGGGTGTTTGAAAATGGTACGTAGGCGTTGTGCCCTGCGCATCCGCCAGTAATAAAAAATTGTGAATATAAGAAGATTTTCTGCATCAGAGCTTTTTTTCGGGTTTGTTGGCGATGATCCGCAGGTTTTATCCTCTCTTCCTATATTCTTTGATAGTAGCTCGTTCTATGGACTACTTCAGTCTCTTTGAAGGCAATAACGTGGATGCCTCCTTTGAATACATTTTCAACTACTGCTGATTTGTTGGTATCCCACAGAAGACAATTTGTCTCGTGATCGTACTGAAGATTCGTTTCATATAAGACAAATACTAGAGATTGAGTAAAAATTTCAACAAAGCATGTGATCCGAATATAGAGATATCTTTGTTCGACAGATGTTTTAAAAAAATAATACTTGTACTTCACATTCATGTTTGTGGTAATGTTTGTGAAAATGTCTATCGATTTGAATAAATTGTATGTGAGATGATTCAATTTTATGATCTGGGTGACACAGCCTATGTTTTTTATAAACGAAATCCATATGAAGAATCTTGCACTAAAAATAGTTTTGAAATTGGAGAGAAAGTTTGAAAATTTGCAACCTGACTATAGATGAATAAGAGGTGAAACTGAAATATCTGACCTACAATTAGTATAAAACGAGCACGTTTTCCAAACACATGAACTGCAATAGTATTCTCAATGTGCGTGTCACCAACCAAATTGGTGTCTTCAGAAGATGTAGAAGAGTGAATGTGCTTATTTGGAATTGACTATTCTGGCCATTTATTCCATTCGTCAATACATCGATAACATTAAAAATCACTGGAGACTGAGGAAGGCATGATAATTAAAGAATGACTGGTGGGTTGAACTTTTCAACTCCCTTTCATTCATATTCACATCATCACCTAGATTGTCACTTCATAAGCAGAAAATGACCCATTGTAATGAGAAACCATATAACTTACAGAATTACTTGTATGTGGGAAGGAAGTGCAGCACTGTTGAGTAAAATTAATTCAAGGAGTCAAAAAATTTAACAGAATTATATCTCGCGTAGCTAACTCACCTATTTGTGAAAAAAAATCATTTATTTGTGGTAATTCCTCATGATTTTCTACTTGTTATTGAAAATAATGACTAGCTCAAAATTTTTCAGGAGTTTGAAAGCAAAATCTAGTACATGTACGTTCTCGCTTTGGAATAAAAAAACAGTTTAAAGAAATATACATTTTTTTTAATGAAAGGGTTGTATTTTGAGGAGTTACTAATTGTTGGGATAGAGAGTTTTTGACTTTCTGCTACTCCATCTTGATACAAGAAATTGTGGAAATCTTCCAAAGAAAGGAAGGAAGTAATAGTAATCAACTTCAAAAGAAATAACTCTATGTAGATTCAAAGAAGTAACTTTCAGTCATAAACTAGAGGAAAAAGCCCTCCTGAAATAACTACTTTCAGATAAACATTGAATAACACGAAAATAAATCCTTTCGAAACAAATACTATAATATGAACACTGAATTATAGAAAAAAATACTTTTCTCTACCTAGTTTGAATTCCAAACATTCGTTATGGAATTAAATCAGATATCATTCACAGGATTTCTACACAATATACTGAATAAAGGTAAAAATTTCACTAACGTGGAACACTGTCATCCTTAGACATCGATGTTTCGCCGAAAGACACTTGCCTTAGGGCTCTTCAGTACTAATCTGGAAAACATTATAAGAAAAACCACACAACGGAAGATTCTCACATGTTTTTGTATCAAGATAGAATAGTAGAATGTAACTTTTTTATTTTTTCAGGATTACCCAGAAGCATAACAATATTACGTTGCTCCTTCTGATTCTGACTTTTCTCCATAATAATCCTAATAGAATTCCACTTCTATCTAATAACTGATTCATTTATTCAATACGTCATTTTGTTCATTTTATTGTATTTATGTGTGTATTATCATTTTTATGAATGAAACAACACCACGTGGTCTATAGAAGCACCTGGATAATTTTGAGAAAGTTTTCAGCTTGTTAAAAATTGCTTTAGGGAAAATTCCAAAGTTACTATTAACGAGAATAGCGTCAGATTTTTCCACTGATAAATTCCTTTTTCGTTCAGTTCAATCAAACTTTATTTATCAAACTACCAAGTTATTCGATCAATAATGAGGTTAATTGTTTCAGAAAACGGCAGCTATAGGTTCGAACAATTTTTATCTCTTCTTGGAGATAAAATCAAATTACGGGGATGGGATAAATACAGAGGTGGCCTTGATATCAAAGGTAAGTGAAAATGAACCACTATCTACACTGTATTTATGTATGTATGTTTGTGGCTCGCCTAAACGCCTTAAGGATTGAACGGATTTAAATAAAACTTTACATAAATACAGCTTTTACATCAGAACAACATATAGACTACAATTTACAAGGGTTTTTTTGTAATTTTGGTCATAAGTATTAAGTAGGTCGAAAAAATTATTGCTCCCTGAGAGCTATCTTGGCGTGTGCTGCCTATACCCATGCAGATAATGTACCGTAAGATATACCGTAGTATATATCTACCTCTTATGTAGTAGCCACTATATGCAAAATACTGAGCCATAAATACAATCAACTGGGTTACTTTGTTGTGGAATTGGCCGCGATGGTAGTGCGCCCGAATCACGATCGGAAGGCCGTGGGTTCGATTCCTGCCTCGACCAGATATTTTTCTCGAGAGAATTTATCTGGTTGAAGCTAGGTAATTCTGCAACCGTGTTAGGAATCACACGTTAAAAGGTAAGTCCTCATTAGTTCTTATCTCGCACAAGATTCTCAACTTCTGAGAGTTTTCGTTCGTATGGGGACGACAGCTGATTGACGGAAAAACAGATTGAACAGATTAAACAGATTAAACATACCAGATTTTAGAATACCTGTTAAATTCTTATGAAAATTAATACAATTGTCGCTTCAAGTATTCATTATGCATGAACTTTGTTCTTTATAGTAAGTAATTTAGAAGAATCATTTAAAAGTTATCACGATAAGATTAACTTGCCGCAACGCACACGTCGCGTCTACTGTAAGACGACATGAGTCGTCGGGATAGAGGGTGGTCTAAGCAATGAAGCGCCATCACCGAGAACGCGACCCGAACGCGGGCAGACGCGTGAGGGCAGTCATCGTTGTATTAGTTTTGCGAATTTCTTTATAGGTATCATAATTCGATTTTCGAAGCTATTCGTTACTCAGACCAGTTAGCATATTTTTTCAGTTACTGTATTTTTAAAGTAAAAATATAAATTACTATCTGTTGCCTGCTCTTATTTTAACGTACGGACGAAGCTACTGAACCTAGAATCTTGAAATATGCAGGTTGGTTCTTTGTATAGCGTAAATGAGTATCAAGAGAAGGAATTAGTAATATTCACCCCCAAGGGAAAAAAATAGGGATTCAAAGATTGTATTGAATTTCGTCAGTTTCAAAGTTGGAATTTTTAGGTTGATGAAAACATATTGTAAGTATTTGTTTGAAATGGTCTGTCACGAAACTTGATGTGATAAACCAAATTCTACGTGGGCGAAGCCGCGAGCAACCACTACTTCAAATATAAAAAAGCCATAAGGACATCAAATATTCCATTGCGTTTTTTATACGATTTCCATCTACCGAAATCTCAAATCTGTCTGCGCGGAATAATGTCATTCTAAAATCCACGGAGAAAAATGACTTCGAACAGTGAATGGTCCGCAAAATTGCCGTGTCAGGTTGATAAAACTCAAAAGTGATATAATTGATACTGATCCCAAATTTTCAGATACCCAAACCTTTTTCTGATATATCGCTGGTGTTAAGTATGATCTCTTTTGAATGGATTGCCATTCCCATATCACCAAAAGACGGGGAATGGGGTGAGAGCGATTAAAGAAGGCAGTTCACTCTCATGAAAACTACGAAGTCTATAAACACCTAAAGAATTTGGAAAGCAAAATTAATGAAAGTAGTTTGCCGTAAAGAAAATAGCAAATGAAACCAAAAAAAGCATTCCTGGGTGCATTGAAATTGATGGGAAAGATGAAAAAGTGTATCACTGAATACATCAAGAATAAAAATGAGGAAATAATAACTGATAACTTCGAAATGATGTGAAGTTGATGGAATATTTTCAGAAGCTACGAGGAGTACTATTTATATTACGGGAATGGTAAATAATAACGAACATTTTCTAATGAAAATGGCTTAACTGTATTTCGAAATATTTCCTCTTGATGATCAATATATTTTTGCATTCGTGCAAACTACTTGTCAAAGCAGATTTTCCATTCCTCTTGAGGCACCTCCAAAACATGGTTTTTGAACTATTCAACTGCTTCTTCGGCGCTCTTAAATCGTTGCACCACACAGTTCACCTTTGATTTTCAAGAACAAGAAGAAGACACTGGGTGCCAAATCAGGACTGTATGGAAGATGTCATCAGCTCGCATTGTCATAATGGAGAATGACTCGTCTTCGGCAGTTAGTTTTCCGACTTTCTCCGAAAACTTGCGGGAAACAAATGGTCGTTCACCACTCAGAAATGACCGTTCTACGTTACTCAAGCTGAACGGTGGCCACATGACCCATTCGACCAAAAAAACAGGCACCCATTTGCTTCGCTGTGCTTCTTTCACTAACAACTTTTATTGGATTTAGCTCATCTTGGAATACCCACACGATCGAATTCTGTTGTTTCCGGCTCATACGCATGTATCCATGATTCGTCACCCGTCACGATTTTATATGCCCCTTTTGAAGGACCACGTTTGAAAATGAATAGCACTTTTACATCAAAACGTTGTGGTTACGTTCATGCTAAAAAATGTCAAACTTTATTATTACGTATTGATATTAGTGTTGCCAGTTCCTGAAATATAAATAGTCCCCATCGTAATATGAGCATCATACAGAATACAGTACAAGAAGAGTTCAACAGTACAAGAACAGTTTAACCTTTTTCTTGAAGATGATCACTTGGTGGTCGAAACACGTATCGAGGTGTTAAAATAACGGTTTTGTGTTGGGATAAAACTCCAGTAATATTTATTAATACACCAAAAGTTCCAAACAGTGCATCACAAAATATATGATTATGTTGAAATAAATCAAGGGAATTACAGGAAAATGGAAAGAATTTGAAAAATTTGGTAGCACCGGGATATGATAAATCAACAACAAAAATTTTTCAAAAATGGGGCAATAGAAGCTGAAATACCTACAGACTGTAGATTGAATGAACATTAGATATACAAAAAGAGACGAATAACTGTTATAACCAGCGAGGAACAACTCACATATCAACAGTTATGACAGATATCATTCTCACAAATAATTCACTACTGTTTGGGCTTACCTTTGACCAGCCTTCGCATTCATTCGCACATCACTAGTACCAATAGCTAGAGCATATCTTTGATTGTAATTATTTGTAAGTGGTTAATTAGGTTGCATTGAAAATGGAACTGACGTGCCATCTAGTGTAAGATAGTTCATTTTCCCTGTGTTGTATCACTATATCGGATAACTTGATGAATAACTATAATCATTCCAGAATTATTTTTTCCAGACTGTTTATTTGATATGTAATTTTTATAGTTATGCACAAAATCTATCTGCAGGTCAAAACTAGCCTGCTGCAGGAATTGCAAACCCTTCAAAATAGTTCGTTTCGAATGTTATCGGCTATTATATCTACCTACAAATTAGCAGCGATGGCGAAACAATGTAAATTTTTCAGCTTCCCTTTCAATACCTACCTCTTTCTTTTTGTGACAGGCGACATGACCGGCAAGTTCTCCGTCTACACCATCTACGAGGGCCACGAGATCATGTTCCACGTCTCCACTTTGCTTCCGTACTCACGCGACAACCGGCAGCAGGTGGAAAGGAAACGCCACATCGGAAACGACATCGTTAACATCGTGTTCATCGACGCGCAAGATGATCCGGAAAGCGCGCACGCGCAGTTCAACCCGACGTGCATCAAGTCGCAGTTTACTCGTATCCTTTTTGTTTGGTGAGATTTTCCAAGTAGTAGTAGGTAGGAAATATTGTGACTGTAACAGAAAACATTATCAACATCCATGTTTAGAGTAATAAAATGGAGTGAACTTTCAGCAATGGAAAATGGTTTTTCACAATTTTCACCGTAAATAGACCTCTTCGAGTTTTAGGTAATTAAAAGATTTACAACTGTGGTAGAAACTATTTTTTCACATGAACTGAAATTTGAATGAAACACATTTCGAACCTAACAAAAATCTATCGGAATAATAATGGTTCAGAAAGATTTGTTTGCTGAATCAACAGTGATGTTTTTTTAAAAAGTAATTTTAGTTTTGTTCGGTTTGAGTTTTCTGTTGATTTCATAGACGACGTTTCTGTAAAAGGAGATATACAAGTTTACTTAAACTCAGGCTCGTCTCTTAAAGATAGTCCAGAGCAACATTGCATTTGTGGTTCAGCCTAGCACCACTGAAGAGACCTATGCTAGGCCTGAACGGCTCTATCTGGTGTTAAATTACATACTCTATTTCTTTAAGCTTTGGTTTCGATTAGTTGCTTACGAGTGGCAGCTGCAGAAACAGATAAGACGACTTTCGTTCGTTGAACGATGCCACAGCTTAGCTATGCAACGAACCGCCTTTGGGAGCCTAATTTGTTGATGTTATTAGTGATTTGAGTCTTCTGCCTGAGTGTAATGAGTCAGAATGAGCTCACCTATTAAATTTAAAACTTAGAAGCTATCATATTTATTGATGTCTACTTGAGTGACTTCGGTGGTGGTCGCATTTTTATTTCGTGTTGTCTTCAGGTAAATAACTATGAATATACTTCTGTGAGAGTTAATTTCATCAAAGGTTATTATTATTAGTCACAATCTGATGTAACACTGACAAAAAAAAGTAAGCTAGCCGTGCGAAGTTATTTTAGATCGCTGCTCATAACGTATAATCGAATGCGGGTCTAAAATGTGACACAGTTCTGTCGCACTTTGTGGTTTCGGTCAAGTCAACTCCGTTTAGAGATTTCACTGAAGTCACCACGAGGCAGCTTTAGCTACCTGCGTGACATCCGGGTCCAGTATTCGATACAGATGATAATAATTAAATCAATGACCCGACGGTCATGTAATCTCCCTGACCACAAAGTCTGGTTATCGGCTTTGAGATGTATGGCGAGACAATAATGACCTTCATAATTTCGGTAGTCTATGTGAATCATTTCGTACGTTCAGACAGTCGAGGCTGACCGCGGACACCTATCCGAATACCAAAGGGATGTGAAGCTTCAATAGCTTCGAATTGTTATATATGAGCGCATTCGATAACAGGCTGTGCTATCATCTTCACGGCTCTACTCAAACTGAACGTTTTATCTTCTTGTTTGTTCTTTTACATGGTTGGAATGCCTTAGTGCAGGTATTTGTCACCTCCTGTCACCTCCTGAATGTCTCTTTAAATTTGCCTGTATTTGGGTTACATCAGGTAATGTTCTTTGTGTTGGATATTCTCTAGGTTTACTATTTCTAGAAGTGTGTATTGTTTTGTGAAATATATTGAATGTTAGGTCTTGTTGTGTTTGATTTGTATTTGTTCCTCGATAAGTGAATTATGACTGGTAAATTTATGGATATTCTCTGGTGGGAGGATATTATGTTTGTTTTGTATGGCGTGTGTTGCGAGGTTTGATTTATATAATATTGGGTTTATGTATGCCTTTTTGTGCTCGTCGTACCTTTGGATCAGTTATTTCTTGGTTTGGCCGATATAGAATCAAAACACAACAAGACCTAAAGTTCAATATATTACACAAAACAATACACACTTCTAGAAATAGTAAACCTAGAGAA